ATTTTAATAGTTTAAGTGCCAAGGCAGCACAATGGGCTGTCTGGGCTGCGTCCACTGCAGGGATCGAACCGCTAATTTTAGAGTTATAAGTCTTTCAGATGTTTCGATGGGCCACGGAAAAATGAAATAAAACCATAATTTATTTCAAAATTTCAAAAAGGTTTTCAGAATTTTCGCGCAAAGCAACGATAAAGCTATCTACGAATATCCATTTTAAATTTTTTGAACTAACACATTAGACAACGGCGCCCACTGCCGGAGTTGGTGCTCGAATAATGTGAACTGACTACCATTCTTATAGAGCACTCACGATCCTAGATTGTATAGCACGTTTTTTTTGCAGCAAAGGGTCTCGAACCATGAATTAGATTCAAAATCTGGGCTCATTAACTACCAGGTCACACCCGGCCGAGTCAGTAGATCTATATTTAATAAATTGTTTTACTTTTCTTTTATGAAGGAAATATTTAATATAATTAAGAGTACTAATAAAACGAAAAACTCGGGCAAAATGTCCAAATTGAACCACTAAATCTCTGATGGATACAGACTACTCTGACATCATACAGTAGAAACATCCTAAGAAATCTATTTCTATATTTCTCTCACTGGACCCTCTGGTGGAATTCGTACAACTTTTTTCTAAGCATTGTTTCTAGCGGTTTCTAGCGTTATAAGTCCGCAGACATACCGCTGTGTGACTGAAGGGGGAGGGGGGGGGGGCTTTCCAAACTGAATAAGCCCTATAACTACCAGTGAAACTTATGAACCTGTTGACCTTTCAAACGCACTTTTCTAAACTGTTGATGCAGTCAGAAAAAAAAAAGTAAATATAAATACCGCCAATATTGAAATTAATCCAATTAATTACTATTCGGGGTCTCTTATGTATTTTACATAAAAAAAAGAAGTGATTTCTCACATATGTTTTGTGTAGTTGTTTATATTTAAATGTTGAAATCGGCAAAACATAAAAATTAGTCAACATGTGAGCCCTACCGGTAATGAACAGTACATTATCAAGTCGGTAATTTGTTTGTTTGTAATTAAGCACAAAACTACACAATGAGCTATCTGTGCTCTGCCCAGCACGGGTATTGAAACCCGGATTCTAGCGTTGAAAGTCCGCAGACATACCGCTGTGCCACTGGGGGGCTCGGTAATTTGAGAGTTAAGATTTGTTTCTGTTTTTTTAATTATCATTAACTGTGGGGGAAAAAAAACAAACACCGGACGACAACTAAAGACGAGATAAATGCTCCTTTTTTGCATTTAAGTTTCAAAAGGGAGAAAATAGCCTCTTGTCACTATTATGTAACTAAAAATAATATATTCCTCTAATAAGTAACACATTTGTTATAGTATCCATGCTATTCTTAAAACTTATTAAGAGTTAAATTTAGTTTGAGTTTTCTATAACGAAAGAAACTATTCTTAAAACTTATTCAGAGTTAATTTTAGTTTGAGTTTTCTATAACGAAAGAAACTATTCTTAAAACTTATTAATAGTTAATTTTAGTTTGAGTTTTCTATAACGAAAGAAACTATTCTTAAAACTTATTAAGAGTTAATTTTAGTTTGAGTTTTCTATAACGAAAGAAACTATTCTTAAAACTTATTAAGAGTTAATTTTAGTCTGAGTTTTCTATAACGAAAGAAACTATTCTTGAAACTTATTAAGAGTTAATATTAGTTTGAGTTTTCTATAACGAAAGAAACTATATAGTAAATAACATGTCATACCTTAATTTATCCGTACAACCCAAAACATAACCATAAACCTACCTAATAATGACCTGCTCGCTCGGTAGACAATGTATCGTTTACTTTGGTACGCCTAATTAGTACAAATGCCAGGGGTTATTTTCTAATTAATTTTATAGGTAACAGAAATTCAGTAATTAGTCTGTGTTAGTTCACAATACCAAATTTACATTTTAACTTATTTGACTGAACTTTATAAGCTTAAAGGTTTATATATATATATATATATATATTACAGCTAAATCTTGTTTTTTTTCGGATATTGTGTTATGTGTTTTCTTATAGCTATCTACTGTGTCCACCGAGGGGGAATCGTACCCCCTGATTTTACCATTGTAAATCCGAAGACTTACCACTGTTCCATCGGATATTCTCATGAAGCTACACAAGGACTACCCGCGCTAAACGCATCTAATTTTAAACTAATAGACTAGAGGGAATTCAGCTGGGCAACACAACCCACGATTGGACTACTCTCATCGAATAGTGAGATTTGACCATCTTAACGCACCACGGCGTCAAAGAGCGGAGTGCGATTTTCTGACAACGGGCGCAAGCAAGAGATTTTCGGGTTAACAGACCGGCATGCTATCTAATAGGCCACGTCCAGCCCAATTAATCTTGATAACACATTAAATATCCATTCAAAAATATTAAAGGGAAAATCCTTTTGAACAGTTTCATTCTTAAGTTTACAAATAAAGAACAACTCCACAAAATAAGGACGTGTTTTTTTGCAGAACAATGTCATACCTGTTCATCATTTGTCAAACGTCTCATTGTAATAATAAAATTCTAGATCACAAATTGAAACACTTTGTGGAAGTAGAATATCTTTTTATGATGTTACCCATCACACGAAATATGTATAATACGTTTCGCATTACACGTACCTGATCAGATAGTTTAGTAATATATAGAAAGGCCATCTACTCGTCCTTATTTACAACATAATCAATCTAGGAATATATAAGAATAGATCTTTGAGATCCATTACAATTAGCCTTATATCGAGATAGCTTGTCTGTATCCTGAGCTGAGACCAACTCTTTTATTGACTAGGTGGCGCTGTGACGATCGATCATGTGTGTAAATATTAGCGTTGTTGTCGGAAGGCTTGTTTAGGGAATTCCTTGTTTGAACATGTTTACAACATATAGAAGATTATTGTTACTAATGAGTGTCAGAGCAGATCTCGTAAAATTAATTGCTGAATTCCCTTATGCCTTTGTTTATAAAGTTTAGGGGCAGAATGCTGAATTTCCATTGTTTATAAAGTTTAGTGGCAGAAATTGTCTTTGTTGAAACACCCTTCATGTTCAAGTAATAATGAATAAATTTGAATAACGCAATTTATATTATTAGTCTCCAGATAATCGTTGGTTATGTTTAAAACAAAATGTCCAATAAGTAAAATGTTATCATTTGCTATTCACGTCAAAGCTTTTCTTTACGTAATACATCTATTAAGCCTCATTTAAAGGAATAGAAAGTCGTCGTCATACCTTTCTGAAGAGTTATAGAATAGTAGAAATCCGGATTAATAAACTATAAGGCCAAAACTTTCTGAAAAATTAAAGATTATTAGAAAGCCGCATTTAATTAATTATGAGGTTACAATTTCCTGGGGAATCAAAGAATAGTAGAAATCCGTATTAATGAACAATAAAGGCAACATTTTCTGAAGGACTAATGAATAGTGGAAATCCATATTAATTAACTATAAGGGTAAGATATTCTGAATGATTAAAGAATATTATTAATCCATATCAATTAAGTATAAGGGTAGAATTTTAATTTTAAGTTTCAAAATTTATAAAATGAAGGACTCATTGGTGGTAAAAATAGAAATTTATTAAAGAATACATTTGGTCTTTTTATTCCTACTTTAGGGCAAGATTATATCGTATTAAATAAACTTTTAAGAATAACATCAATAAAATCAATATATTTTAAGTCTATTATAAAACAATAATGCAAACGAATAGTTTGATAGTCTACCAGAGAAAGGTCTGTCAATTTTCTACTTTCATGTCTGTATGTATAAATTTTTTGACCAATAGAGTACACTATCCTCTATATAGATAAAACATATATTGTTGGTTTGTTGTTAAGTCAAAAGCTATACAACGGGCTATCTGTGGTGTATCTATCCACCACGAGTATCGAAGCCTAGTTTTTAGCGGTGTGAGTCCTCAGAATTAACGCTGAGCCAATGGAGACATAAAGCAAGTATATTCAAGACGTAGTTTTAGTGTGCCTCTGTTGTTTTTCTTTTTGTAATTGTGGGGTCATCTTTTCATTAATCAAATTTCAATGACAATGCTGCGGCAGTGCTTTTATTGCCATGGCAACTGAAGGCAAAATCAGAGAATTTCTGGAACCCCTACGTGTAAAGAGCCATGCTTGGCGATGTTATTGAATTTCACTGTATGTTTTATATGCAGAATCACTGTTTGTTCTCAGTTTAAAAACAAAATAGAGAATCGTAAATTGAGTCTCCAGCGTCTCCATTTTACCGCAGGGATCCGACCATAGTTGTTCGATCTCTCACCCCTTCAGAGTTACTAACAGCTGATTTGTGTGTGTTTGTTTTTCTCGAAAGTTTGGAAAAATTGGTCGCCATATTTTTTATGTTATCCACACCTGAGGGATTAGTTAAATATGTTCATATAAATTCAATTATTTAAAAGAATTGGTCGCCATATTTTTTATGTTATCCACACCTGAGGGATTAGTTAAATATGTTCATATAAATTCAATTATTTAAAAGAATTGGTCGCCATATTTTTTATGTTATCCACACCTGAGGGATTAGTTAAATATGTTCATATAAATTCAATTATTTAAAAGAATTAGTCGCCATATTTTTTATGTTATCCACACCTGAGGGATTAGTTAAATATGTTCATATAAATTCAATTATTTAAAAGAATTGGTCGCCATATTTTTTATGTTATCCACACCTGAGGGTATTAGTTAATATGTTCATATAATTCAATTATTAAAGATTGGTCGCCATATTTTTTGTATACCACGTACCTTGAGGGAT